CTGATTGGGGCCTCCTTTTCTTGATCTTTGGAGAGAACTTTTCATTACTGGTATTATTCAGGTCTTGTTCACATGTTTGTCCCAGGTTTCTCAGCCAAGAGGAGCTTGAACTCCAGACACTGGGAGTTCTTTTCGCACATTGAGATCATTGATAACTTTTAGCAACTACGGGATCTTGTAGAAACAATCAGGTGTCATGGATTCAGCTATAATTGAGACTTTTTTACTATACTGGAAATCATTTCTGCATTTTACCCATATTTTATTTTTAACTCAAAATCAAAAATTCCAGATTCTCCTACATATCGGTTTTGGACCAGATAGGACAACAGATTTCAGGTGGCCCTGTGTTTTTCTCTACACTGTAAAACCCAACAGTGCATCTTACTAAAAGAAGTAAGTTGTTCTTACTCAGTTCTGAAAAATAGTTAAAGTAACTTTCATGAAGTGTGTTAGGTAGACCCAAAAGTATACATATGTTATAATAACTTTATTGTAATAAGTACACATTATGTTTTTGTAATGTTTTAAGTACTGTTGCTTTAAACTGTTTAAGTAGTGTTAATTCATTTGTATTAGTCATCATCCACGCCCCGCCCCCAGCGTTTTGCCTGGACTTGTCGGCCATGAGACACAAGTCTCGTCAAGAGAAATTTTGCAAGAGTGGAAAGTACAAGATAAACGTTATTTTTATGTTTTTTTGTTAATGCTTACTTCTAGCGTACATTTATCAGACTGCTTTGTTTTAGTTGTACTTTGTTGTAATTTATCAGACTACTTTGTTGTAGTAGCTCGTAACTTAGCTTGCCAGCACACAATTCCCGCCTAGCGCTGTATGGAGTCTGCCTTCACAATTTAAAAAATTAACGGTTGGTGGCTTGTTTCAATCAAATAGTTGGTAAGTAGTCTAATTTTTGCAAACTGCATGCCACAAAACCTTTGGTAAAATCAGTGTTTAGGCTTTTCTGACTCTGAACTTTATCAAGTTCAAATGTAGCCTACTTTTGACACAGTGAAAATGGTAGAAGATTTATTTAGTGTTCATTTTAAGAGTTTACTGGACAAGTTCACCTTCACAAATTTAAAATATGATGCTTAGTGGCATTTTAGTCGTGAAATAATTTACCTTTTCAAAGCTGCACTGCACCAAACCTAAACGTTTCTGACTCTGTACTTTCCAAGGGTTAGCCTATTGTGTACTTCACTTATGTAAAATTGCTTTATTATTTCATAACATTTAGAGTAGTTGACCAACCTGAATTGAAAATGAACTGTAGTTACTGTTTTCAAAGCTTGTGTTATCCAGGTTGACTGTTTTTAAGTGAAGTAAAAGTCTAAAAGTAAAAACTGTTCTGCTAGCTTTCTGTCCTCATGGCTTTGTGTTATTACAGTCTGACGATTGAAGGAGCAGTAGCATGCCGAGAGATCATCCAGCACTGCACTAAAGACAGCCAGTAAAGGTGATTTTAAAACAATTTGGCATCAAAATGTGGAATTGCAAGTTGTGTAGTTTTTCTACTGCCATAAAAGTCATGTTGTTGAAGCATTATCGGCTCAACCATGGTCAGTACTCCACAATTTCACCCTTACCCTGTCTCTACAACACATGCATGTGTACATTTAGTACATTTAATTCATTAAAGATACACATGTCAAGAATGCACACTCCCACACAAAGAAAAGACGGTTCTTATCTAGATTTGAATAAATATGGATTTTGTTGCCCTGTGTGTAATTTTAAGCAGCCATTTATTGAAAGCCAAATGTTTATCCATCTGAGGGGGCATTTAAAACGAAAAGAAACTGTTCCATGTCCTTTCAAGAACTGCAATTTTAAAACCAATGTATACTCAACCTTCAATGCCCACAAATGCAGAGACCACCAAAATTCAACAAGTTACAATGAAGGCATTGTGCAAAGTGTTATAAATGTAGAACAAAAAGATGACATGCAGCTTGATTCAATAGAGTCATCAGATGACAATCAAGTGGCATCCACCAGTGAAATCAGTGGAATTGAGGGTTTAGAAGAGCAGTTGCAATACAATCTGGCTGGATTTTTCTTGAAAATGCAGACCATTCTCCATGTGTCTCAGAGAGCAACACAGGAGATTATTGAGCATATTGATCAGTTGTTTTTGTTATCAGTACCTCTGGTTAGAAAATCAGTTGTAGATATACTGAAAAAGCACAACTGTACATATACGGACAAACTGGTGGATGAGATTTGTCAGGCAGTTTCTGATAGTAATGTTTTACATAAATGTGTCACATCTGAAGGACCACTATCTACAGCAAAGAGGAGGAAATCATATTACGAAGCAAATTTTCCATATGTCAAACCTGTGGAGTATTTAATTGAATCGTCAAAGCACACTTATATGTATGTGCCTATTCTCACATCTTTGCAATTGTTGTTGAAAAAAAATGATGTGCTTGAAGAAATTAAACAAGCACCCACACAGATTCCTGGACATTTCATGTCATTTTGTGATGGATCCTACTACCAGGAAAATGTTCTACTGTCACAAGAGGGACAGAAATTGTCAATAATACTTTACGTGGATGATTTTGAAATCGCAAACCCAATTGGTACCTCAAAGAAAATACATAAAGTTTTTGCAGTTTATTGGACATTGGCAAACTTTCCAGTTAAATCTTGTTCTGCTCTACACTGCACTCAGCTTGCTCTGCTGTGCAATTCCAATGATGTATGCCAGTTTGGGTATAAGGAAATGTTGTCACCACTCTTAAATGATCTGAAAACTCTTGAAGAAGTAGGTGCCTACATTGAGACTCTTGGTGAATGTCTTAAAGGCACTGTCTACTCTGTTGTGGCAGACAACCTTGCTGCCCATGGACTTGCTGGTTTCAATGAGTTTCAGGTCTACATATTTCTGTAGGTTTTGTCATGCCACCCAAACAGAAATGCAAACTGAAAATGCTGTTACAGGGAATTATGTAATGAGAACAAAAGATGCTCATGATAATCTTGTGCAAGAGCTTCAGAATGATGACATTGAGGAAAACTATGGTGTTAAAAACCCCTGTGTTCTTTCTGACCATCTCTCTTTCTTCCATCCTGTCACAGGCTTCCCACCTGACCTCCTATACGACCTGTTTGAAGGTGTCGTTCCAGTGGAGTTGGCACATTGTTTAAAAGGTTTGATTTCTAAGAGATATTTTACCTTAGAAGACTTAAACAGAGCAATTCTGCGCTTTCCCTACCAACATTCTGACAAAGTTGATCGCCCTCATCCAATACCCTCAAATTTTGCCAGGCGAGGGACCATTGGTGGGAACGGGCATGAAAATCATGCCCTTCTTAGACTGTTGCCTCTTCTCATTGGCTCCAAAGTTCCAGAAAGAGACACTTTTTGGGAAGTGCTAATGGATTTAAAGGACGTAGTTCAGCTTGCCATGTCTCATACTTTTAGTGACGAGACCATTCAGTACATGGCCTGTAAAATATTAGATCACAGACAACTCTTTCAGGAAGTGTTTCCTAATGTTCGATTCAGGCCAAAGCATCATTACATCGAGCATTACCCACACTTAATAAAGTGCTTTGGTCCCTTAGTTCATCTTTGGACAATGAGATTTGAGGGAAAGCATAAGGTTTTCAAAAAAATAGTTCATGACACTCACAACTACAAAAATGTACTAAAAACTTTGGCAGAGAGACATCAAAGCATGATGGCATTTTATTTGTCCTTATCAACGTTTTTCAAACCACCTGTGCAAACATCCAAAATGGAGTCTTTGTACATTTCATCATTACCTGCAGATACACAATTATTTATTTCAGGTATTGCTGACAGTGACACAATATATGCAACAAAAAAGGTTACAATTAATGGCACAAACTTTGCAATTGGCATGTTTGTATGCACAGGTGCTTATGCTGCATTGCCAGAGTTCAAAGAGATTCTTAATGTACTGCTCATCAGAAACAACATTTATTTTCTCTTGAAAGACTATGACACTTATTACGTTGAGCACTTGCGTTCATATGAAGTAGCAGAGAATCAACAGAGGGGTCTCCGTCACAGTGTAAAATCTCTGTGCCAACTGTCTGACCACATGCCGCATGTTGCTTACAAGATAGCAAATGAACTCATTCTAACAACAAACCATTTCATTCCAGTGTCTGACTAAAGAAACAGAACTGAGACATCAGCTGATTCCACCAATTTCTGAACCAATGTAAAGGTAATTCATCTATTCAGTTTTTTTGTAGTCACAGAAATGTTTTTATACTTTTGCACAATTAATATTTTGTAAATAACTGTAAACACAAACATGTATTAAAATGCCACTATAATATGTGAAACCTGTCTTTTACAGAAATAACAAATTCAGATGGAGGCAACAGGAATATTGATAAGGATAACGCTGAAAAACTTATTTTGCCATCTCGTCCAAACAGTGTGCAAGCCCTCATAGATGCGATCAAATCTAGGCTAAATTTTACTTTTGACTTTCGGCTTCAGTTTCATGACCCAGATTTTGATAATGCCTTGTGTAATTTGGTTAAAATAGAAGACCTGCCAGCTATAGCGTCTGTTAAAGTTGTCAGGTTAGTTGAGCTTGACCGGATTTCAACGAGCACTGATGACACAATCCTTCAGACTGATAGCACTGATACCATAGATTCACCAGAGCGTATTAGTAGATGGCCAGAAGTTTTTATTGTTCCGCCATTTTCTTATGAAGTGGAACATGTATTAAGAGAGGGTAATGCAGCATTTGATAAAAATGGGAAAGTAATTACGCTGACACGAGATCAAAAACACAACATACTTGAGACAATGGGGGAAGAAATCTACAAACTAAAAGCATACCCTAGTACAACACAAATTGGCAAGGCTGCAGAAGCTTTAGTTAGAAAACATCCCTGTCTGAAAGAGAGGAATTCTGACACTGGGTGGGAAGGGTGGAAGAATAGCCTGAGATATAAAATGGGAAACCAAAGAAAGAAGTTGGCTAAAGCTGGCATCATGGATGTTGCTGTGAATGCTGGAAAGCGCAGCAGAACAAACCCAGATGGAGCTTCACCAAGGGCCAATATTAAAAGACCTAGGAGAGGTGAGGTCAACTTCCTTCCTTCTTATCCTTCTGGAGAAACAAGGGAGTCTCTGGAAACCAGAAGACTTGAGATGGTAGAGGAGTTCAAGAAAACCTCAGCAGAAAGAGACATCCCTCTCATTCATCAGCATATGATGCCCACTTTTGCCCTCCGGCGTGAAGAGATTGTCACCACTTCTCCTCCTGTATCAGAGCTCAAGGACAGATGGCCAGCACTCTTTCATGAGACACAGGTAAGTACAACTACATATATAACATTTGCTGTTCATATAGTATGCTGTGTTTTGCTTATAATATTTTTGGAATTCTCCTCAGCTCTACTTTGAATTTCATCGGATCACCAATCAGAATCTGCCACATGTGTTTTATGCTGCACTGGATGATTATGCTCCTCAGCTGATTGGACTTTACAAAAAGAGGAAAACTGGACGGGTCGGTGAAAGGATGGAGCAGCTTTTGTTGGCATATGGAAAACAGGTATTTAAAAATACCAATTATTATTCTCTGCTTGCTTGGCAGTTGCCATTGCTATGTTTATATATATATATATATATATATATATATATATATATATATATATATATATACACATATATATATATATATATATATATATATATATATATATATATATATATACACATATATATATATATATATATATATATATATATATATATATATATATATATATATATATATATATATATATACACACACATATATATATATATATATATATATATATATATATATTTTTTTTTTTTTTTTTTTTTTTTTTAGGACAAAAACGACATCTATGCAACTAGAACAGCAGTTCTGGCTAGCCTACCAATGTACCTCAAGGAGGATCCTTCAGAGATTTTCAAAACATGCAAGGTACTTGGGTATTACAATAATTTGCACATTTGAATTTAAAAAAGGTTGAAAGGAGTTTATAAGTCATCTGGACTTGGGTTGAAAGTTGAAGACGTGAAGTTGAATGACTTATAAACTTCTTTCATCCTTGATTTGACTGGATGAATGAAAAATGAACCTTCACTGTCAATTTAAAACATGTTATGATATATAGAATTTGAAAAACTGAAGAAAGGTGCCTGACCCTTTGTATTTATGCTTTTAACAGAGGTATTACAGATGAATAATTTTGCACTGTGTATTATAGGAGGAAAATGAGTTCTATGAAGCCACAATTGCTCTGGTTCATGTCGATGAAGAGGAGGTGCCTGGAGGAGTTCCTTTCTCACCACGCCAAGTGTTCATAGTACTTGAAGATCAGGTTGTTATGACTCATCACTCATGGAGTGATGCTCTGGTGTGTTTGTTTGGGCTAATCTATGCTCTGCATCTGAGCTATCCTGAGAAGTGTACTGGCTTTTTTGAGTTCATTCAAGTAGTGTTGCTGAAGCTAGACGATGAGAGAAAGCAACTAAAACCAAAATTGCAGACACTAAAAAATGAGCTTGTGTAGATGATGTTTGTTTTTCACTGTCAGTATAGTCGTGCTTTTTCAGTTATCTGTGAATGGCTTCAATAGTTTTATTTGTTCAGGGTAATTAGCTTTCTAAAAAGCAATGTGGAGAAAGCTAAGAATAAGGAGACAATCCATATTTGACGTTTTGTTGTGATTGAAAAAAATCTTTACATAGTGTGTAATCTTAAGCTTATTTCTAAAAACACCTTTTAGTTACATGGAAATCTTTTGGAAGATAACTGATAATTAGTCAATATGTACAGTATACTTTCAAGCTTTATTTTTTAATTGTGTGATGAGTGCCAGTTCACTTGACTCGAGGTCTGGGCAAAACTGTTGAGAAGCCACAAATACCTTTGAGAATATTTTTTGTTAGTTCAGCTGTTTTCTATAGTTGCATTGCTGTAGTGCATCTGATTTCATTATTATACTAAATGTTACTTAAAATTGTGATTGTTATGGCTCTAATTGCCTCTAGACTATTGTTTTTTATATGATGTACACCTAAATGTGTGTTTTGTATATTTAATTGATTTTCAAAATGCTACAAAAAACATTCAAAATTCCCTAAAAGCGCAAGTTTTAAAATGCCTAATTATTTGTTTGTTTGATAATGGCTTTAGCAGTCATAGGTTATGACTCAAAGTATGGTTGTATTCATTCTGTATTTTCTCTGCAGTTAAAGTTAATAAAAACTGAATGGAAAGAACAATAGCTTGGTTTTGTGTTAATAGTACTTGAACCATTTGGTGCAATCGGTTTCCCCAAATGGATTAAGTTGTTTAAATACAACTATTTAAGTTAATTTAACTTAATTTGAATATGAGCATGTAACACTTTAAATAAGTTTGAATAAATACAGCATCTTAGTACAACAATTTAATGGTTTAAGTTAAAACATACTAAAAACAATGAGTAAATAAACATAATGCATTTGAGTTACATTATCATATTTGCTTTGGGTTCTTGGGACTCTAATAAAGTACTTAAATAATCCAAAACTGTTTAAGTTATAAAACTTGAATCAATTGGTGCAATCGGTTTCCCAAATCATTTGAGTTAACTTAACTGGTCAGGTTTTACAGTGTACTCAGTATATAGTGACACTTATAGGACTAAAATTTATAAATGCAATTTTTCAAAATTCATCATTCAGTCTGAATGCCGACCGTTCAAGATAATTCTTTCATTCAAAGTAATGCAGAGCAAGTAGGAAAGCATGAGCCATAGATGTCCCTCTGTCTTCCTCTTTCTCAGATCTGGATCGTTTAACGTTACGCGTAGATATTGAGGGAGGCAACAGTGACAGAGATGGAGAGCGACAGAGAGGAGGCTTGGGGGTTCGCATCAGTGCGCCCAGGACCCCACAGTTACAGCTGGATACCGAGTGCCGTCTGGTGACTGAGTGTGAGAGCTCCCCCCAACCTATTCCTACTTTAACGTAACATCACTTTAACATAACATCACTGCTCAAAGTGCCTTCCAAAGGAAATGACCTGGGCTACCGGATGGACAGTCCGCTGATTAATGAAACTATCCTGTCGACTTAAATTAATTTAAAAATAATATTTTTAAAGGTAAAGCGATAACTGTCATTATTTCAGTAAAATTTCCCCGTTTGTGTAGTAATCTACAAAAAGGGAAAAAAGAAAAAAAACTGCCCGGATGGTTTAAATATCCGGGTTTAATTGCACGGTCATATTTGTACGGGGCAACGGAGAACTACAGCAGCGGCAGCGATGGCGACAAGTGATGGACGCGATTATTTTCAGAGAGCACGTCTCTTCTGGATGGTCACCGTATCAGTGGCGCTGATATATTTCGCTGTAAGTTCGTTAAATCACCTTTACTTCGGTACAACTGAGATATTATTACCGTCAGCCTTTTTTCTCTTATTTGTAACTGCTCGCGGAGCCCGTAGTTGTGTTGCACAATATGTACTCCGGGTAATTTGAATTTTCTGAAAACTTGGGGGCTCGGGAGAGTTTAGTCCTCCCTGTTGTGGATTGCTAATGAATTTTTAAATGGGGAAAATTTTTAAATATCGGCAGGTTATTGTATGGAGTCATTGCCAAGGGTGTCGATGTAAAAGGCTAATCTTATTGAGGTTCATTCAGTTCTCGGTGTGACACAGGTCAAAAAAACAGCTCAAAGTCCACTGTACGTGTTAACATTAGCAGCTGATTCAAAACTCAGTTCACGTTAGCTTTCTTTCATCAAGGCTGCCCTCGGTCGTGCTCGGTGAACACTGACGTAAGGGGCGCTTAAGCTAACAGGTGAGCTAGTTTGTACGTGTTGGGGTTAGCTTGTAGCTAATTAACCTTTTGTCTGGTCAAGAAAATATGGCAAAGTGACCCCAAAGGATTCATGCCTGCTTTCCAAAGTATTGCCATTAAGGAGAAATGACTCAAACGGGGGTAAATGGAGCATAACAGTTTAAATGTACAAACAGTACGATTGCCCTAAGGTGCGAACTTTTCCGAACTAAAAATACGCGAATTTAAATAAGTTCCACTGTGTTGAAATTACACAACAAGGCTGCACTCTGTAGTGCATAAATCGGCTACAGTCATGATCTAAACTGCTGGAAAGAGTCATTCATAGTACCGTTACACAGCAGGAAAATAAAATGATACACTTTATTATTGCCACTGTGGAGTCTTCTCATTAAAACGGCACGTCATTGCCTGTGAGCACCGAGAGAGTCTGATGTTGGCAACTCTGGGCACCATGGAGGGGACTTTCAGCAGGAAAAAATACGACTTACTGTGGTCATATGCATGCCATGAAATGAGCGTATATGTCATACAGTCATTAGAAACAAAGATGTCTTTGAACAAACTAAAGTTCTCACACGGTATTGAGCAGAAGTCCTGAGCCACCCATCTTTTAAACTTACTTATTTCTTTAATTTTTTAGAACACTGGGCCGAAGTATGGCAGTTTACAAAAACGTGCAAACATGCATGGAAATGCAGTTTATAGGGCAAAAACAAAGCTTAACTGTAGTCTTCACATTTTGAACTCTCCTGGCCAAGCGTTCATGTGATTTCTTTAAGTAGTCTTTGGGAATAGTTCTCAAGACTTGAAGGACATTCCAAAGGTCTTCTTTGAGCAGGGAAAAAAACTTCAAAAGACCTTCAGAATGATTGCTTATTTAAAGATATTGCCCTTCAAAAAATTAGAAGGAAGTTTTGTTTATTGCATAGTGTTTTAAACTCCTTCTTTCTGATTCCAGTGCACAGTGTTTGCACCAGATGTAGTCCCATTTGAGCTCCTTGGTCCATTTGGCACCTTCTCCAAAAACCTTGCGTATAACCATCCTGACCTACTGTACAAAGGGTAAGTAATGAAGCACTGACTCCTGCAAACATCCAAACAGAGAATTCTGGTAATGAGGTTTGGTCATTATAGCTTTTGTAATGAAAGCCAATCACTTTAGGAGATCTAAAGCGACATTTTTCTAATGATTTGCAAATCACCAGACCCAGACACCCCCCCCACCACACACACACGTGGATCGTTGACGCCACATTCATAGGTTGCAAATTGGCACTCATGCTGTGGAGTAATAGGACAACAATCAGAGCTTAATGTATTGTTGTGGTTTCGGTCACGTGACTCAGCTGCCAAGTCGGTCTGTTCAAAGGAAATGCAGCTGGAAGCCATCATCGAGACACTGTTGGTTTGAAATATGAAACGACTGATCAATTTAAGCTTATCAGCACTCGGTGATTGGAACAGCATGAGGGAAAACTTGTTTTCAGACCAGAAAAGTCCTCACTGTTAACTTGTGGGTCTTTTCCCCTTTTTGGAAGCATGTGCATTATCCTAGTTTTAAATGTTATCACTGGAGAGTTGAGCTTCCTTTTTTCCTGTTTCAGGTGGTGGTTGACCTGTGCTATTCATCTTTGTGAGGCCCTGGTTGCACTGAAGTTGTGCAGGTAAGAATGCAGGAACTTTAACATCCAGTAGGTGGTGCTGCAATCTAATTTTTTAGCCCAATTTCATGTCAACATGTACATTTTTGAATTAAAAAAACAAAATGGCCAGCTGCATTCAAATTGTGCATAATTTTCTGTTTAAGGGTTCAACAACCATTGCGCATATGATGAATCTACTTCCTAAACACACTATTTACTTTTTCCTGCAGTAACAAAGGCATCAAGGACATGTCCACTCGGTGCCTGTGGTTTATCCAGACCTTTCTGTTCGGCTTCGCCTCCCTCCACCTGCTAATTAAGTACGACCCAGAGCGTTCCAAGCAGGACTGACCTTACCAGGAGAGGCCTACAGAACAACACATCTGAGCCTAGAGACCCCTTCTTGGGCCCTCAAGTCTTTCCACTGTTCACTTTGATTATAAGATCCTGCTGGAGAGCATGAAATGGAGCAATACTCCTGAGCAGTTTCTTTAATAGTGTCTTTTAAAATAATTCTAAAGACATGGTGCAGTACAGGTGGGTTGGTTTTTTGGGGGGGGGTTCCCTCTTTTCTCTGCTGCTTGGATGAACGTGATGCCTGACAGGTTTGCTGCAGATGGTATTTTGCCATAATCCTCAAAAGTGCTCTTGGATTATATGAAGAGGGGAGATGCTGTTAAATTTGCCTTTCTCAGATTAAAGTGCTGTGATTCATAGTCTTAATGTTGACACTACAAAATGAAGGATGAGTGAACTGAATCCACTGTGGGGTGTCTTTCTTCTTCCTTTTTGTGTGATTTGAGATTAATAAAAAGTGGTCTCACCTCTGTGTTTATTCAGTTCAGATGTATTTATGTCATGGCAAACCAAAATAGTTTTCCTCAAGGTGCTTTATACTGTGAGGTACATCCATTTCAGTAGTCCAGAGAAAACTGCAATTAAATGACCTATAGGCAGGTACTAGGTAACAACGGGAAGGAAGAACATCCTTTTAACAAGTCTCAAGACAAAAACGTAATGACCTCCTGTTGTGGTGTATAAACATGGGGCATCCTCAGTGAATCACATTATGTTCTGCAGCAGTCTGAACCTATAGCAACATGACAGGTTCAGGGTCACCTGATCCAGCCCTAACTATATACTTTAGTCTCCAAACTTTGCTATTTGATCATCTTAAACTGGAGATCATGACCCTCTCAAATCGTGTGTGTGTATATTAGTTCTATGATCATGCCCATGAGCAACAAATCTAATGCACAGTTGAGTGTGACTAGTGTTTCACATAATTGATCAGACTATTAGACAGAGTAATACTGGATTATGTGGATCCTTTACCCAAAACTAAAGCCACATCGTGACAAGATTCCCAGAGGCTATACCTCTTTTTTTTTTTTTTTTTTTTTTTCTCTCCTCCTCCCCCACCTTTACCAAAAGTTCCTTAAACTGACCAAGGCTCAAATTTCATGTGAAAAGTGTTCGAGATGAATCCAACTGTTACCTAAACTGTTGTTTAGAGTCTCAATTATCTTTAGAAAGACTCAATCAGACACTTCAAACATGTTGTGCAAGTTTTGCCTTCAGTTTGTGAAAGAACTCCACTACACCCATCAGTTAGCCAAAGGAAAAACATGCTCAGTCTAAGATGAAGGCCCATTATGACAAAAAGACTATTTTCAGTACTCTTTAAACAGGTGAGAACATTTTTTTGGTCCAGTTTGCAAGCACAGTTTGCTGGATCCTGCCTAGTAAGTTATGTAATCCAAATAACTAGGATCTGCCATATGAACATGTTGAAATGTTACACTCCAAGAACTATCCACTATCACTGTGTGCGATTGCTTAATATAAACCCTCTGATGGGCTGATTGAAAAAGGTGTTTTGTTTGGTGCTCAGTTAAAACATTTTCATTGTTAGGTATTAGATAATTTAGAGTTCATCCTGTCCCATCTGTCTGAATCTGCTTGGGATGATATAGTCTGCCTGATCCATATTTAGCTCACTGAAGAACTTTGTCTCGATGCTTTGAATCTGCTAGAGCATCAACTGGGGTCCCAGAAATCTTCCTGTAAAATCTGTACTAAAATTACCAGGTCAGCCAAAATTGTCAAGTGCAGACATGCTCTAATCTTCTTGATTTACCAAAGTTCCAAAGGTTTCCTATAGACTGCCATCTGATGCTGCTATGTTCTCCCTTGTCACCATCTTCCAGTTGCCTCTCTGTTCCAAATTGCACTTCTTGCAGTCTAAAAGAGTGCAGGAAGATATAACTGTGTGTACCTGTGTGTCTTGAAGTATTCACCACAGCTCTTTCCGTCCTTTTTGTAAAATCCACTGTCATGTCCTTCTGCATTTCTCTCCTTAACACCATAACATCATCACCTCTGCTCCCTTCACCTGCACGTCCCCTGTAATCTGCTCTAATCACTCATCTCTCCCCCTGGGGACACTCTCTACCCCTTCATCACAAAAATTCTCTTTTCTTCTGACAGCCAACTTGTGCATACACACTGACAACATTCAACATCACCCCTTTGATTTCCAGCTTTGAACTCACAATCACTAGTCACACACTCTACCTTCAAAATTACCCCAACTCCATTTCTCTTCCTACCTACACCGTGTTAGAACGGCTTGAATCAACCTCCACTGCTCCTAGTTTTGCTTCCCTTCCATCCAATATATCTGCCTTTCTTCTCTCCATCATATCATCTCCCTCTTCACCAGTCATATATTTAAACCGCCACACTCTTGCCTTTCCTCCTCTCTTGCCCTTAAGATGGTATTTCTTTGTCTTTGGCCAACAGTACTACAGTTTCCACCAGAATCCTTCTGACCAACAGAGGCGGTCATTGTTAACCTGAGCTTTGACCAAACTGCTATGGAAATCTCATTCTTTATGATCAATGTATTTGATTTCTATAAGATTTTATACCACATGCCCTTCCTGGTGGAGCCCTCCCAGTTTATCCAAGTCTGGTACTAGCATTAGGAGTACACTGGCTTGTAAACACCCCCCTAATGTCTGGGTCAGATGTTTAATTAAACATTTACTTAAATGATTGTATGTAGATTATGTAGCTTATCTACTTATGTTAATTATGTAGCCCAATTAGCTAAGTAATAATAATTGTTAATGTAAGAAGTTATCGTTTCCTGGCTAGGAGCTTTAACCGTTTCGGGAAGCCTTGGACTCATCAATCACAGCTCTGAATGTATATCTTCTGACAAGAAGGTGTTTGTGTATGACGTGGGCTAAAGCAGTGTGTGACGTGGGCCAAATCAGGCTAACGCAGTAGCACGGGGTCACAGTGTCCTCTGCTTACAAACTTAAGAGCATTAGCTTGTCTTAAATGGTCCAGTCTCAACTAGAGCTTTGCCCAGACATTAGTCAGTTGGACAGTGCAGACACTACTTATTTTTAAATCCTGTGTTACTTTTACTTTTGGTGAAAGTACACCAGCATTGAAGAAAAACCCAAGCTAGTTGTCTAGTCTAGCTAGTCCCTTACTTTGCATATAAACTTCACAAATGTGAAAACACAGTTACAGTTCATTTGTCCAGAGTTTTATTTGGAGAACACTTTTAGGAGGGTTGAAACTGCCACTGTGGACAGTACAAATACAGAAATATTTACAGCATTTTAAAAAGAACATTCAATGAAAAATAGACCTTATATAGTGAAGCTGTACATGCGCTACAGGAGTCACACTCCACCCTTTAGCTAATGCAGACTGATCCACGTTCTGCCAGGGGTGGAGCCACAAGTTGGCCACCACAGACTAAAGCGTGGCCACCCATGACAGCCGTTAATGAAGACCCAGAGGGCTCGACACACACTCAAATAGTTTTTTTGCAGAACTGTTTCTCTATAGGGACATATTTTAATTGTGATTAGCTTATATGCTTTACCAACAACTGGGAAAAAAAGCTTTATCCACTGTTACAGATTTATTTAATCACTTGAGGGTTACATAAAAAGCTTATATAATAAGAGTAAATGAAGAAAGATCTTGGCTACTGGTGGCTCTACAGTAATTTAAAACACAGAGAAAAATACTTTATTATGTGCCAGCCCAATGTTAACCCATTAAATGGCCCAAGTTGGGAACCACTATAAAAATAGTCTGAATAGCATTCAGTTAGAATTAGCATCATCAACTGGGATGCAGTTTAACCGCTTCACAGTATATTTAAGGTGCCATGATGAAGAAGAACAAAAGCAGCATTAGTAATAGAAGGAACATGTAGACTTGCACTATAATCTCAAGGTTTTGCTGACCAAGCATTCTCTTAATGAGTCTCATGTAACAGAGCTTGCATATCATAAGAGTGTGTGTGTTTGTTGCAGGAATGGTTTGCATGTGTTATCCCGACGGCAGGAATCTGTTTTTAGTCAGTCTAGTTTTGTGTTTAGGATTTCGCTGTGATCACCGGTCCAGCCAGCATATAGAGGGGTAGCGCTCGCTCAGCGTCTTGCGCAGATGAGCACTCTGCATCTTATCCCTGGTTTCCACCACACACTCCACCTGTCAACACACACACATACAGTTAGTCTTCTTATGTCATTCTCCGTCTCACACACACTCTAGAATTAGGGCAGTGAGAGGTTTGCTTGTTGCATTATGCAACACCTTTCACCTCCTGACACTTGCTCTGAATAAGCAGTACAAATTGTCAGTGGAGACTGTGGGGTAAGAATGCAGAGCCAGGAGATTACATGATAAGTCTGCTCCATCCCTGAGCTTTAGAAATGAAGGAGAATAAAACAAATCCATTATTTTAAAAAGCTACGATGGCCCAAGTTTTATCAGTCGAGTTATGTCAGTTTCTCCCCGGCAGCTTTTCTTCATTTTTTTCCAAGTTAAAAAAAAAAAAGGCATACTATATGTAATGTTTGTAAGTCTTAAAGTCATCAAACTGACTCAGTAGTTTCAGTTGCATAGCAACACTGTGTTTGCAACTTGCTAAAACAACAGCCAAAATTGGCTAATGGTTGTACCAGACCGAGTAAAGCTGTAGGTGGGTACTGAACTGAGCAATGCTACTTTTTTCTATCTTTTAAAAATGTATTTGTATTTTTGGTCTTTTAATTCCCGCCAACT